GCATACGTTAATTAGAAGACGAGACCCACTAAAGCTTCACTTTGAGTTAAACTGACCAAAAAAACACCCCTTTTAGCTTAATTAAAGCTAAAAACACATCTCAGTTCCTCACATGAGGTGCAGAACTCCTGATGGTAGCAGAAACTTTTTACAACAGAAGTTTTGACTTCTCATTGCAGGTAAAGTATCTGCAATGATAAATAAGTGCCCCAGTAAAGAATACAAAAAAGAGAGCCAGGATGCTAAATAACAGGATACTAAAATTAAAACACTTCTTTGAGCTCCTATGCCATATCATAAAAAGTATTCTCTCACAATATCAATGACACAGTGACACCGTAGGTATATGTTCCCCAGCTCGCATAATAATGACAGAAGCCCAAGCATGTCTGAAAGCGAAAGCAGCGTGTCAGTCTCAGATGACAATTTAACACCTAAAGAGGGAGATAATTCAATAGCAAGAAGTGGCTTGCCTACTAAACGCCAGATCTCCAGAAAAGCACAATACTTTGCAAAAAATGCAAGTGTTAGCTAGCATCTCATAACATCTCAGGCAGGAAATATTTTTCAAGTCCTATTTTATTATGTGTGCAGGCTCCTGAAGAGTTACAATTTACTTTAATTACTTTTTTATTCAACTAAAGTATTAAATATCTCTCCTTCAAAGGGAGGGAGTATGTAACTGGTTCTGTTTGTTTGTTACCAGACTAGCAGCCAGTTTTCAAAGTATTTTTCAAATTTTGCCTGATGATAGATAGTAGGGCTGCCACGATTAGTCGCCTAGTCACGATTACGTCGACGACTGATTTAATAGTCGATGCGTCGTTTGAAGCTTTGTAAAATCACAAAAGACGCAAGAATAAGTAGTAGGATTTAAGAGTGTAATAACGGACTGAAACAGAAGATGGCAGCACTGCATGTACAAGGATGCCAGCTGCCGTTAAACCCCGAAGACGAAGAAGTAGCTTTGTCCCAGAATTCATAGCGCAGCCCTGCTCAGTTTCCAACAATGGCGGCAGCTAGTTAGTTTTAATAGTACTCTTATTATTCTTTCTGGGTCACAAAATAAATGTTTAACATATTTTCAGGCGAGAATGTGCAAACCTCAAATATCTGCTTAGTTTATCAAGACACCACATATTTTGAAAAGCGCTCCGATATCTGTTCCCCACTAGCTCAATAGTTAGCCAGGGGCAAAGCTAACTAGAGCCCGTGAGAATCCCAGACTCCCAGCAAATCATTTTCAAACCCACCGCTGTCTTTCACTACTCAGGTTAAACATATATAAGTCACTTAGATAACTTAAAAATGTTATTGTTTGGCTTTTTTTAGTATTTTATTTGTTCCTGAGTAAATCGGTTTGGCTGAGATCAAAGTTATAGTTTTTACACAGCTGAATAAACGTCAAGCAGACAACTGATCATCAGAAGTGTGAGATGCTGGAGAATATACTCCCGTGTCCTGTTATATTTTAGATAGCAAGGAGTTTATTAAACTTCACCGAAACAACCTGCAAATTTCATTAAAATTTAATAAACTATCATCTAGTCTTTATTTTTAGTTAGCACATACTTTAAACACTTAAAGCTGTAAGCTAATGATAGTTATATAAGAGCAGATGCTGCTGGTGCAATAAGCTGTACGTTTTACGTCCAATGGATGATGATCTGATTAGTCAACTAATCGCAAAAATAATCGGTGACTAGTCGACTATCAAAATAATCGTTTGTGGCAGCCCTAGTCCAGGTCATCCTAAAACCTGTTTTCAATTTGTGGATTTTGTGTCATTGTCTTGTTACATGACCCAAGGTTCAGATCATGGACTGCTGCCCCGAAATTCCCCTATAATGTTTCCTGACACAATTTTGAATAGGGCTGTTCGATATAACAATATATATCGGACGACGATATGAAAACGTCTATCGTTTCATATTACGCTATCGTTTGTTTTTGTGGTTTTACAAAATAAACTGTTTATTCATTTCTTAAAGTTCTCTCTTTCTCTTATATTTAAAATAACCCCACCACAGACTCAAACATGGCAAACCTCTTCTACCACCTATGCAAGAATCACATGAAAGAGTATGGAGAGAGTTTAGGGACGAGAAGCAAAAGAAGAGCCGTCAGGTGCTCAAAACAAACCTTAGACTCAAACGTTAGAACAGGCTTTTCCCCGCAGCACGCCGTGTAATAAATACTCACAAAAAAATGGCTGCCCTGAAAAATGCCCGAGATTCACAGAATTTACAGAAGATTTTTGTGATATATATCGTTGTCAGGACGATAAATGTCTCATAGCGGGTTATGAGATTTTGGTCATATCGCACAGCCCTAATTTTGAATTTGTTCTTTTCTACAGGGTTATTTAGGATGACCTGACCATAGTGTAGCAAAGCTACTTGAAATCATGATGCCACCTCCACCATGCTTTACACATGAGGTCTGGATGTTGGTATGCAGGGTTTTATTTTGGGCTTTTGTCAAGTATCTAAGTCCTTGTCCACACTAATACCTTTTGGTTTGAAGACACATCTTTTTCTCTCCGTTTTGGCCTCCCATCCACACTGAGACGGCGCTTATGGTCAAGGAAAACTGAGCTTTTTGAAAACGCTCTCCAAAGTGGATAAAATGGAAAATGCCGTTTTCGCGTCACAGTGTGGACTGTGAAAACGCTGGCTTTCGAAAACGCATTTTAGTCATATTATGCAGTCATGTGGCCAATTCAACTAAGATGGCGGACGGCGTTGTCCAGCAGTTGTTTTGTTTGCTCTCAATTTTGACAGCCCTATTAAAGATTAATATCAGTTTGTACATGCTCCAGATAGCTCCAGATAAAACTTGTAAAAGTCGACGCTTTGCTGCAACGTTTCAAAGAGCCGGAAAGTAAATAAACGGCAGATGGGAATGACGCATGTCGAATCGTCTTACATTTCATGCATGTGCAGTACAGGAACATACAGTTTGAAAACAATAGTGTGGACGCGGAGCGTTTTTAGACGAAAACGCCGTTTTCAAATTTATCCAGCTAAGTGTAGACGTAGCCTAACTGGTCGCTTTGAAATCTTTTGAAAGTGGCTTTCCTATTCTTATAAATAAATCTTCAGTTTTCATGTTTATTTTTTCTTATAGTCTTTTAGACATCTAACAAAGATTTTATCAACTTGTAGGGAATTCTCTTACTCCTCGGAAGACCCCTGAATTTTTCTCTATTTGTATTAACTTTATCTTACAATGGACTGAATAACATCTGGGTCTTTAATGTAACACGTAACAATACAGCTTCTTCTAAGGTCAAAGGAAAGATGAATTAAAAGTTTAATTTATATTCAAAGCTCAATTCAAGTGGTCCACACTTCTTAAGAAGATCCAATCCTTCTTAAGAAGAGGATTGAATAAACTATATAAGTTATTTTTATTGGTTAAATTCTCCAGGCATGTTTTGGAGAAGTTCACTTACTATGAATTGCCTATGAATAGCCTAATTGTAGTTTAGATAAATATCAGCTCAAAATTTAGGGGGTAGTCAATGCAGAAAACCTCCAACTGGAATTTAGATTTGCCTGTGATGTCCTTAATGATTACGAGAATCTTACACTTATGTCGGGTTCAGCAAAAATGTAACAGTCTAGCGCACACGCTCAGTTCCTCAGAGCAGCCAGGAGGAGATTGTCCCAACATTTAGCCCCGTTTCCATTTTTGCGGCTCATTATGTTCTGTCGCAATACTGCCCCAAACATTGCATGCAAAAACATGGCGGTTCATTTCGTAGGGCTGGTTGTCTTTCTCAGACTGTACAGGCAGGTGTTTGAGGGGGAGTGCGTGTGCGTGGGAAGGCAGAGGAATCTTAACCACCCTCGAATTTTCTCTGGCAAACAAAATGATGGAAAAAACCTGGAATGGTGCTCAGGACAGAGAGGTAAATATGCACTTAGTAGGAGGCAAAAGAATATACTGGATAAGCTCGTACTGAAAACGAAAGCTAATAATTGCGGATAGTGGGAAGAACATTAACTGCGATCATATTCTTGGCTGATAAAGATGTAAATCAAATATTATGGTAACATCCTGCGTTTAAAGCTGTTCTAACTGGTTTCTCCCTTTCTCTCCCTTTTCTGTCTCTCCTGACTTTCAACAATGGAATAATCCAAATAAGGAACCTGAGACTAAAGCAAACTAAATAAACAGAAGCATATGTGATTCATAAGAATGATATTTTATATGTTTTAATGAAAAGGGGGGAAAAAACGATGTAGATTTGTTAATTCCCCTTACAGGAGCATTCTTATCCCGCTGCAAATGATACAAAACTGAATCAAAGCTGAATACTGGAGATTTGGGAAACTGGGGGATGCCAAATGGGAATGAAGCCCACATAAAAGAAAACGCAATGACTGCTCAACAAACCCCCGATACCATTTCTCTGGCGCAACATCCCTTGACAGAAACACATGCAAACTACGATAGACATGGCGAGGAGGCTATGTCTCACCGGTGGCATGTTCACAGCAATTACAGACAAAGCTGAAGAAGGCAAGCAAAGAGGTAATGCTCCTGAGAACTCATGAGTTGCCATGGAAACATCGCCTTTTGAATGAATTTGCTGGAAAAGGGGTATGCGCGAGATAGAGTCCAAATTGTAGTATCAACTACACAAACCCCCTTTCTCCATCCCCCGGACTGTCAGGAGAAAACAGGCTGCTATTCCCAGCGGTTAGTGATGCTTGCAGCCAGCAGTACCATAAACAAGCACACAGCACATTTATGTTTAGTGGTGAACGCACTGGCTGCATGAACAAAAATGTTTTTAATACCTGGGATATGAAACCGTACTTTCTGCTGTGAGGAAGGCAAACATTTTGCATTGGCGCTAAAAAATTCCGATTGGGCAGGATTTGAGCGTCTAGAATGATTTTCTTTCACCAGAACAAAATGCCGCCGCACCAATGTGCCGCGTTTGTTATCACTGCTAGGCTGCATCAGTAGAATGGGCCACTACTTACTCTTCATATTTAATGTGGTAAATTACGTCCTCTTCTCTCTCCTTGCTCTCCGACGCTGCTGTAGAGTCTGTCTGAGAGGTGGAGGCTCCGTTACTCTCAGAGTTTAACACAACATTAGTCCTGTTACTGTCCGTGTTTTGACCGTGGCCGTGGGCCTGTCCCTGCTCGGCCTCCAGTTTTCCATTAGTCCTTTTTGGGGGCCGGCCCACCTTACCCTTTGTGGGCGTTATCTGTCCTTTGGGAGCGCGTGTCACATTTTCAATGCAGGCCTCAAACCAGGCACCGATGCTGACGTCTCTGCAGTCCACCAGCTCGTTAATCTGAGGAGAGAAAATGACTAAATTAACACCCGGTCCTGTTCGAACCCCGCACACAAATATCGTCTTTTTTTTTTTTTGAGGAGCTGATGTGTAGGGGGATTATAACATCCAGTGTCAAAGACTAATACAGCACATGCCAGAGTCAAAATTCTAAAACAGCAATAACCCTGTTATTATCTTTTTCACTTAGTAAATACAAAAAACAAACCATCACAGAGTGAATGTTATGCAGTGGATGGGATAAAAAACAAAACCTTTGATTGGAAAGAATAACATTATATATTGAAAGACAAAAAAAGACACAAATCCTTTTGGGGTTGCATCAGGAAGAGCATCCAGCGTAAAAAATAAATAAATAAATAAAATCAAACATACGGAGCTACCCACTGTGGAAATCCCTAATGAATAAAGAAGCAGCTGAAAGTAGCTTTTAGTGAAAGAAAAAAAATATTTCAAAAGTGATGACTCTTTTGGGATATCCTCTGTAAAAGCACATGCATGTTTGCTAATGTATTTTGAGCTTTTCATGGGCTGAATTCAAATGTTTTTACAGTTTTTAGGCTAAAAGAATAGCCAGAAACAGCATAATGCTAATATATGCCAAGCTAATTAACTGAAAATGAAACGTAATAGGACTCAACCACTCCTTCATTGCAAATCCAACTCTGGATTAGCCTAGCTTTGTTGTCAAAACATTTACATTACAACAAAGTATAACCACACTGAATGATTGCATGATTGTTTCAATGTCTCTTTTTTGTCATATATCTCTAAGCTCACTTTTTTCTCTTCTCTTTCCCCTCACTCCCCAACTGTCTGAGGCAGATTGCTGCCTAGTTCCGATCTCTTCCAGCTATAAAAGGGAGTTTTTCCTGCCCACTGTCGCCAAGTCTGTGGGGTTGTTCTTCTAAGATTGTAGGGATCTTTACCTTACAATTGAGATATGCAGACACTTGGCTGCTTACCATGTGATGTTTACTTGTGTGCCTGTGATGGCATCAGCCACACAGGGGTAAATTAGTCCATTTGTTCACTTTATTAGTTTGTTTTGCAGTTTTCTTCATTAATATAATTCATTAATCATTTGGTTAAACCTAACACTGATATTATGAGGCGCGCACATAGTAGCATTGTGTGGTTTTTCTAAAATGTTTTGTTATATTAATTATGTTTCTCTTTCTTTGAGTTACCTGGGTTTGGGCGGTGGCTGTTTCCTGTCTGGGCAAAAGGCGTGGCTGAGGACTCCGGGAACAAAATGCCTGCTCAGCAGGACCAACCATGGGCTTACCAGGAGTAGGGGTGTTTTAGGTTTAGTTAGGTTATTCTCTGCTTAGTTAATATTAGTGTGTGTTTTTCTTTCCCCCTACTATGTGTAAATGGTTTTGCCAAACCATTATAAAAGCTACCCTCATGTGTCTTTGTAATTAGGTCAGTTTGCGAGTTAAGTTGTGTCTCACTTTGTTTGTTCAAGTTTCTGGAAATTACTTTTCGTGGAGTTATATTTAGTTGACCTCTTTTATGGGCCTGCTAATTATGTTTTTGAATTTTGTCATTTTTTAACTTTTTTGAGGGTTAAATTAAAGAAAACCCTTTTTGAAGATATTTTTTGCCTGTGTCCTCTATGCCTTGGCTGCTTGGTCCCTCACAGTGCCAAAGCAGTTAAAGCAGTCAGATGAAGGCTGTTTATGCAGCAACCTCTGCAACGAATTTCGTGTGGCGACAGCCAGCAACCGCTAACAACCATTCACCAACCAGTTGGGGGAATATACATTTTTCCTAGTGGCTGTATCACACATTTAGCACCATGGAATAACGTCCAGCAGTAAAGTTAAGAGTGGTACAAACTGTGTCGGGCTTTTTTAGAACACTACTGGAGTTGATTAATTATATTTTTAGGCTATTTATCTCCAATTTTATTTGACTGGTGGCCTTTCAGTCAAATAAAATTTATTTTATCTAGGAAAAAATGAAGCAATTCCCATGTCTCCTTTTAATTACGCTACGTAACTATTAATTGTAAGCAGTAAGGTTGGACGATATGTACAAATTTTCCAACCAACAATCGTCAGTTCAATAACCAACGATAGGTGATATATTCGCGCAGGTGCAGACTTTTTGATTTGCGCGTTTAGAACACAGAAGAAGTCCAAACATGGACAAGCTAATTGCCAAATTGCACACTGGAGGAGAAGGCGCAGATAACGGACTGTTACCTCAGCGAGGAAGTCGAAGACGGAGAAGACGATCCACTGGCTTGGTGGAAAATGCATGAAATACGTTTCCCATTGATATCACACATGACACGGAAATATCTGTGTATACCAGCCACAAGCACTGTCTTCAACACTGCTGGTAATATTGTTAACCGCTGCTAAAACCTGATAAAGTAAACATGCTTGTTTTCCTGTCAAAGAATTTATAAGTTTTGTTTGGAGGGAATATTTTACCTTCTTTTCTTGTTTATTTCAGTATTAATATAGCTACTTTTTAGATTATTCATGTATTTATTTATTTATTTGAGATGCGTCAAATCGCACAAAAGACTTAACTTTACGTCTGAGGGGGTTTTTTGTTCACTGGAAGAGACATTTTGATTTTTAACTTATATGTTGTTTGGTCGAGTATGTAAGACAGATAAACACTGGAACAGCCTGTAAACACGGTTATAGTGGAAAAAAGAAGCCATTTTCTCTTTGTTTCTCTCCCCACCAATCTGTTTTTCTATTTAAATAAAATGCTTTTCTTTTTTCTGAACATGGGCTACTGCCGTGCTTTCTTTTTCTTATGAGTTTGAGTAAACGAATCGCTGCTGCATTTGGGTGCACTCTGAGGTGTGCATCTGCTCGCAGCTGAAGGAGGGTGCCATTAAAACATTATTTCTGTTGAATGCTTCAACCGACATCATTAGCAAACTTACCCATGGATAAATAAATAAATAAACCGCGCTTGTAAAAACGATCGATATTCAATATATTCGTCCAATCGCCCAACCTTAGTTTGCAGTTTAATGTGCAGCTGTCACGTTAGAAATAAACAGCACTCATGAGTGGAAAAATGAATATATTAATATATTTATTTCACCACTATGTAAGCTTGTAATGATCAAATAAACAATTTTCTGCAGTATTAGGCCTACCATCATGCCTCAGTTACAGCACCAATCTTGCATTTTACTGTCATATTTTTTATATTCTTCATAGATCTCTATCACCTATTCCTCTGATGACATCTGTGATTGGACTAGGCAGTGCTTAGTTGATCCAAATACACTGAAAAAAATGGGAGCTTGAAGCAGAAAGCCTGGTTTAACAAAGAAAGTTGATAACTATCATTGTGATACCCATTAAACTGAGGTTTTAGGGTCTGTCAAGCCAGCTAACACAAAGAAAACCTGACTATGTTGAATTAAAAAAACTCTGGTCTAGCAATTACTTGATATCTTAATCTGGAAATGTCACATATTAAACCTTAAAATTGCACAACAGTCCAAGAAGACAAAAGATTTGAAATTTTCCATATTGAATGAGTTTAAACATGCAAACCACTTATACCTGTGTGTCACGTTCGTGCTAATTTTGTTTATTTTTAATGCTTTTGTGCAGAAATATTTCACAAGTATTCATTAATTTATTCTACTCCTTGTGTTTATTTGTCAACACCATGTCTGTGCTGAATGCTTAGAGACTGTGAATGCACGTGGCCTTAAAATCCAGTCAAGTCAGTAGCACAATTTGCAGCTCATCTACTTGATTATTGATTTTCCTGCATGCTGGACGGGACTGTACGCATCAAACTGAGTCCAGTCCCACAGATATAATTCTCAGCCAGACTCATCCATACCCAGTATGGGCTTTGACTTTCTATTTATAATTTTTAAGCTGGTTAGTGACCCAGTTGTATAAACCTGTTTCTTATGTGTGGTTGCTATCCTGACAAGGTAAGCGACGTGAAGCTTATACCCAAAGCAATTAGGGTATCAGACCTACAAACACTTGAACAGCGAGGAAAAAACTAAGTGTCAACACACCAGAATATGGTTACATATGAGAAAGTTTAGGGTAATTTGTGGCTGGAATATTATATCTAAGCAGATGTGCTAATACATAAGACAATAGGGAATGTAAAAGATGACTGATAAGAAAAAAGGAGTGCTTAAATCAAATGTTTCTACCCATTTTTCTTCAGGTTACTTTCATCAGGCAGGCTTAATTACATGACTGCAACCGGCCAACATTTAATGCTCAAAATGACACTGACGTCATCATTGCCATGCAATCTGACGTTTTCAGCAGCAGTGAAAGAGCAGAGACACATTTAGTCTCTAATTTGATTTGACAACCACATAAACAGGAGAACCTGCCCAAGTGTCTCTGGCAGTGAGTTAGCTTATAGGGCACTAAACTCTCTGTAAGCTGGCCTAGAGCCAGAACAGCCACTCAAATACAAAACCATGCAAACATTTCCAAAATATTTACATCCGTCATCCTCACCTTGTACATGCCAATTCCTGGATCGACTAGTGTGTTCCTGCTGGACGTGGGTGACTGAGTGTCCTGCGCAGGGCTGCAGGACTTGAACCCATTTTTGGTTGCGTTACTGGTAATGCTGGCGTCTGGCTTGGTTTCATTAACAGTGCTGGTACTGAAGCTGCTGTCATTGTCTATACTGGTGGTTTCCATAGCAGCGGGGGAGACGAGAGCCGAGGAGTTGTGGCTTTCACACTTAGAATCGGGGGGAGAAATGGAACTACATCCAACACCCGAGGAGTCCTTGGTGGCAGGGCTGTCTGGATGGTCGGTCTGTGAGCGAATCAGCAGCTGAACAATGTCATTGAGACCCACGTTGTAGTCAAACAGTGTCTGGCCATCCTCCATCTAAATGAATACAAATGAAAATCTCACTCTTTAACATTAACAGGCAAAGATGTACAGACGCAGAAAACCACTGCTGTATACAACACTGCAATCAATCATTTTCACTGCCTATAAATAAACACAAGCTATTAAAATGCTGCTAAGACAATAATACATTTGAAATAATAATAGTTTACCAACATATTTTAACTTTTATAAATAGGATTATTCCAACCACTACTAAACTGTGCATTAGCAATACTGTAGCTCATTTTAAATCCATAACAAACCATCACTTTTTTACTTTTGTTCTACATTTCTTTCTAAATGGACATCTGTGTAAAATGAAATAACCACCGCTGCACTGCAGAGTGCCCTCAGACAAATACACGAGGCTGCTTGTCAAGGACAAACAACACCAGAATACAACACTGAGCACAGTGAGTAGAACACACACTGTTACGGCACTCGAGAGAGGAAATTAAAACACACGCGGCACTTCCGATACGTTCACGTGCTTTTAAATTCAAAAAGCACGCGGTGCTCAAAGACGCAGCAACAACATTTACTCTCTGTTCTTAAATTGGGCAATTTTCTGCTACTGATTGAATGCAATTAGCTACACGTACAAGTTAAGTGTTTCACTGATTGTTCTGTGCGTAGAGGAAAAGGAAAAAATAAATACATTTGTAACAATTAGCACCTATCGCTACTGACGATGACAATGGGATATGTGCTGAAATGCGGGCGCCGCTCTCTAGCATCCGCAGCGGTTTTTCTCAAGAAAAAATAAATAAGAGATCTGGGTGCATGAATTAAAGTGATAGCAGATGTAGCTGGGGGGAAAGAAATGACTGGGTTGCCATGACAACCGAAAGAGAGCACCCCCTACCCCACCCCACCCCGATGACTCTGAATCATATATAAAATCACTGTCAACCAACCTACAACTAGCGCCACCACCATCATCATCATCATCATCACCAGCATGGCCCTAACAGGCAATGTGGCATATGAGCTTCAGCAAATGTTTTTCCCTCCCCTCTGGGAGGGGGGACAAGTAACAAAAAAACACAAGTAACAAAAAAAAAAACACATGAGGGCCCATTACAAATCCAAATACACTCTTCTACCACATACGATCTACTGTTAAGCGTACAGTGCAGCCACTGCCTTAGGAGTGAAGCTTATGGTGGACACGCCAACTCATTGCAGACATCAGCTATTCATTTCAGCGCTCAACCCCACAAGCCCATTGTGCCGGGGAGACAAGCATGGCCGCCACTCTCTCTCTCCTTCGCTCTCTCGTTTTCGTTATTTGACAATGAGGTGGAGAACGCTTGGACGTGTAGCAGCCGAGCAGTAGAGGGAGCAATCACAATTTCCCCATCCGTGCATGCTTTTTTTTTTTTGTGTGGTTTTTTTTTTTAATAGTCTCATGAAATTTAGATCAGAGAAGCAGTGGTGCAAATACAGCCATACAGTGGTTGTTATGCTTACCTGTCTATCTTTCTGTGGTAGTCTATATCAGCATTTTCTCTGTCTCCCTGCCTAAGCTCGGTCTTCGATTTAGCCTCAGTAATTGCCTATCGTCCGCTGCCTTGTCTGTCTGTCTGTCCATCTTTTGCGACTTGATACTGCATTAAACCAAGAAAAGTACACAAAACAAACAGAAAAACCTCCCCCCAAAAAATATGCATTAGGACTGCAGGCAGAACCTGCAAAGAGGCAGCCTCACTGCTGAGAAGTGCGGGGCAGAGAGATGGAAAATCACCCAGACAGACAGACAGACAGAGAAGGAGAACAACATACAGCAGAATTGCACTGCACCAAACGCACAAATGATATCTGGGCTGCTTCTACCTGCTTTCCACAGCGGCTTCATTACTATTAGTGTGATCAGCCTCTCGCTGCGAGATGTTACAGTCCTGACTTCAGTCATACTCACATGAATAATCCCCAAAACAAAGAACAAGCAACTAACCCAGCAAATGTTGGGGGTGAAAGAAAAAGGGCTTTATACATTCATGGAGGACGAGATGTATTTGACAGCATGCCGTTAACGTTGACTAAGGACATGACATTTTATTCCCCACAATAACCGCGGCAGTATTTAAAAACACTTGCTTCTGATATCTTCATTGTGTGACTCACTGAAATGTCATTTACTGTTCCAGGGGGAGACTGACTTTAGTCACGACCGCACATCACGGCAAAGCTTTAGATTAACCCGAAACATTTGACTTGAAGATTTCTCAAAAGGCTCGAAGAGTCGAAAATAATAAATATCCTTGGCATGGCGATGTTGCACGAGAGTGTGTGTGTACGTGCGCGCGCCCTCGCCTGTGAGTGTATCACAATGTCGAATGGAATAAAATTAACAGCTACGAACGAACAAGGCTAAATTCTCTGCTGAATTTCGACAGCCCTCTAAAAGACTAATGGCTTATCATACCAAAGAAAACACAAAGTATAATGTCAGAAAGAAAGAAAAAATCAAACCGAGATAAGACAAAGACCTGTAGCTGCTGTAAAAACATGCTGAACATCTACACTCTTCACATTACTCTTGAGATATTAAACCACAATCCCTTTTCTGTTTCAGACCTCCCATTGTGAAACTAATCTGTTTATATTGTTTTGAATATACACCCAATAATACCTATAAAAGAGCAAAAACCGGGGTGTGTGTGGGGGTGGTGGTGGAGAGTGATTTGGTAACTCCATCGTTCGCTTTTCTACCAGCGTACTGTCACACAGTATCACAATGTATGACTTTAAAGGCTTTTAATACACGAATCACTCTGCCATTAAAGTAACTAGGCAACCTGCTTAGTGTAACGATGAAAAGGTGGAATCAAATAAACAGACCAAGAAAGCAACGCAGCGCATTTAATACCAGCACCAGAAGGTCTGAAGTGACGGTGAGAATGAGGCAGAAATTAGCCTCCTTGCTCAGGCAGACCACCCTGCTCCAGCACAATTTCTTCTTTTTCTTCACCCACGCCCCATGATGGCAAGGAGTTGAGCAAAATAGGTCAAATTACCAAAAACAATGACACGGGGTGTGTCTGCTTCCCTGCAACATAAAGGCTTCCATCTTGGCTCTTTTATATTCTTCAACCCGCCCACAGTCATCCAATCTATTTACCAAAAATCCCCTGCTCGCCAGCACAAATTACCTAGAAAGGTGACAAAGGTTACTTCCACTTGCAGCTCTTTTCATAACCTGGCGACTGCTCGCACGGCGGGTTTTAACGAGAAGTGTGCGGGCAAGGTAACAGATGTCACACTGTGCTGTTTTGCATCGTTTATATAAAGCAGGTCAATTACTTAATCATTAAATTATAAAGAGGACCAGTCCTCTTTGGCCACATTCATTCAAATTAAACAAGTTTGCATAAACATGAAAATCTCTTTGCTTGTTGCTCCTTTGATTACAATTCAAAAGTTGTTGGGGTTTTTTGCCTTTTCTGTGTTTTCAAACATTTTTAAAACAATCTTTTGTGGTTATCAGAAAGCATCTGTGCATAGTTAAGAGTTTAATGGCCTTTAAATTAGTCTACATATTCAAATAACGTATTACTCTATTTGAAAGTAACAGAGCTTGCATTGCAGCGTTAAACAGGTAGGAAATCTGATCTCACCAAGCAGGCTTTTTTTAGTGCCATGAGGTGGAGATGTAGAGCTGTGAAAACATGAAAGCCTATGGTTATAGTTTAATGGCTCCCTTTGTATTTGCCCTTTGTCCAGTCTATCAGTTGGAGAAGGGTGTGACTGTGTGCACTCAAGGCTGCAGAAAACTCAGCTTCCCTTGAAATTTTCTATGAAATCTACAACTTAATAATAACAAAAGAAAACCCATCAAGTGAGCAGGCAAAACATCAATCCATGTGTAATCAAAGAGTAACCATATCTAGGTCACGGCGAGCGCCTGTGTGAATGGGAGCAAGCCAATAACCACAGCCCGACAACAGGGCAAGAGCAACAGTGGAAGACATCCCGACTCTTTGCGCATAAAACATGTTGCTGCTTTGGTATTAAATTAAAAAAAAATAAAACAAACTTCATACTTAAATCAAATAAGTGCAATGCAAGCTGAGCTTGAAACCACTTGAGGAAAAAGTCAAACCTCTAAGTAAATGTGAAGCCTGCTGCAAAATGAGTGTAGGCGCTGAGCAGAAAGGCCGCACGGCCAGTGGAAGGTGTGTGTGAGCCTGCTCGCGAATGTGACTGACTAGAGACGTTCAAAGTGAAACAGAGACACTAGGACCGCTCGGCGAAAATGCAAACAAACAAAGAAACATCAAAACACCGTGGCAAAGTTGCACAGCTTCTGGCTTGAGACCCTTCCGACTCAAGGGCAAGCTTGAGTCTGAACTGGTGAGGCAGCGTGAGCACTGAGCTGGAGGGAAAAACAAGACGCCATTTTGAAAAGAGAATTAGACCGAGTTGCTCTGCTACAAGTCTAAATCCTAACACAGAGCGCAGGCACCACTGTGCGTGTAAGGGCACTAGCCAGTGCATGTTGCGTGTCACTGGCTCATTCCATGCATTACTTAACACATGGAAATCCCCCAATCAACGCTCTCCACTTATTTTCCAGTGAAATAAAGGAAGCATAGCATCAGATTTAATACACAGGCCTAGCTTTTGCAGCCACAGCTACGACAGTACATAACAACTGCAATGTAACAGCTCATTAATTGTTCATCGAGCAAATAGCACTACTATACTTTATCTACTACCCCTGATTAAATCACAAACAGTTTAAAGAGGAGCAGTTTGCTTTGTGCTTGGTAGCTATTATGGATTTTATAAAGAAAAAAGGTGCTAAGAGCACTGAAATTAGTTTACTAGCCAGAGAGGCGCAGAGGTGTAAAAGCAACTACTCAACCATCGCTTTCCATCACAACAGTTTGTTCTTCTTTGATCTGCCGTAATGAGTGCGCAACGGCGAGCTAGGCTGTAAAAATCTGCCTACAGTTCTCGAAGTTTCCTTTCACTCTGTCGTGCAGTATATGCGGCAACAAAAAAGACACAATAAAATCAACCCATTGTGACACGCATGAGTCAGAATCGAGCGCCTGTTATCATTTAATTAGACAAAGAAGAAGAAAGTTAGGCCCGCTTGAAACTACAGAGGACCATTTTGCAGAGGAATGCCTCGGCCTATAATACAGCCTGACACATGTGAAGAAGGAAGCAAAAACGAATGTAAACAAAGTGAGATCAACATATCATGTAGGCTGCCTGCTTCCTCGGGGCTTTTTCGGCTGGCTGACTCACACTGTGTTAATATCAGCTTTGTAATGTTATGCTAAAACTCAGTATAAATCAAGGCACCAGTGTCCTGCCAGCAGCAAGCATCCTCTGCTTATTACTGATAGTTACAGCCAGTGATCTTTCACGCATTACACACCTTCAGATATCGCAGGTCACGCTGTTATATTTGGATTCTTTCATGTCTTATGCACATATATTTGAAGCAAGACAGAATAATTAAGACCCTGAACTCAAACGTGCAGGACTTGAAACGCAGGTGATAGTCTGATAGATAGATTTTCCTAATGCTTTTTGCATAGACTCCTTCAACAGCTACAAAAAGTCTGCATGCATGCATGTGTGGTAGATCGTAAAATGCGCCAGCATGCATTAAAATAAAGAAATAAGCACAGGCTGTGAGGCTGTGAGGCTGCTAGCTGCATGCGACCGTCCGCCATGACACACACAAATGTGCACGCCTGTCTCATGGAAGCTGATTACAGCTTTCACGATCGTCTTCATGGAAAGCTAGTGATGATGATGATGATGAGCTTTTTTTTTCATTAATATGAAAGATAGATAAATTGTGCACTAAAATCTTGCAAGCCGAAGCCAATTACCACATATTCTTGCCATATTCTAGCCTGAAAACCAATCAGATATTGTCTTAATCTCAAATTAGTCTTGAGCTCTTTATTTTTGTAACACTTCCCCTTGAACACTGCTGCTATCAGGTGTGACATACTACATTACCATGCTTCCACTTATATCTCAAAAAATGTTACATTTTGCCTTTTTTTATGAAAGCAATATAAAAAGCCAAAGTGGTCTATGCGGGCAGATTAAATTACATACAATGTAAATGTTAGATTGTTTACATAATACTTCTAATAGTATTTAAAAGCACACACTAAAAGGTTAAAGTCATATTTATTTACCTGAGAATATTTAAGAATACACATTAATGCTTTTCTTTAACATTTGACATACCATGCACTACAGAAAACAGTTTACTATCATTCATTTAGCAAAATCTTAATGTAATAAATAAGTAATGGTGCAATTATAATAAAAGATAACATTTTAGTAGCTTAGGTATAAACTCTTGTTCTAGAGCCTGAACTGTTGAAGTAATAAGGGGCACATAAAAGAGACTTTGTTTAATATGAACTCCAACACAGATTTCTATATATACCATATTAACTGTGCATTTATAATATAAGTATTAGACTTTTATAGCGGCTAAATAAATACTGGATCAATGCCTTGCAAAGCAGAATCATATGGCATTGAGGACAGGCTCAGAGTCTGGACCCCAGTTATGTGTCTAATGCAAAACATGCCTGTATTCCGTGTGAATCTGGATGTTACAGAGCGCAGTGTGTGCACAACAGTGTCAGGCAAGGCAGACAGGGCAGGCAGGCAGGCATGTTTACAGTAGACAGCCCTCACTGTCCTCACTGTACAGTGAGAGTACCGTGGTGACGCCACATTGTAAACACTACACTTGCTTTTAGATGTCAGGGCACGTGTTGTACTTCCTTAAAACCCACCACGAGCGCAAACACAACACAGGATCAATAAAAGCTTGAAAAAACGACTCACCCAAGTTAGAAATACAGTGCAGATATACGTGAGCGTGTTTTCAGGATACTTAAATGTACAAAAAAGAAAGAAAGAAGAAAAAAAACTGTTAATGGGGTGCACATCTGTGAGGGATGTGGGCTGTTTGGTTTGCACAGCACTACTTTCGTTCTACATGGGGATACAGAGCGCGAGCTTCCCTATTCTCTCGCGCGGCAATGTAAACAAACATGTCTACTGTGGTGGGACATTTGTTGCATGCAGTTCTCCACAGCACCAACCTAAACAATGTGGGGAGGGGGGACAAAAATGGGGAGGCACACGCATCCGTGCCGTCCCAGAGGACTGCTGCACACGGTGTACCCCCGGTTCTCTTGCGCAAGAACTATTGGCGAATTCCTATCAAAACAGGAAGCTCGCAAGGGTCCGAAACGGCTACAACACTCAGAGGAGGACCGCTCACTCTCCAACGAGCAACCCGTAACCCTCTCGCCAAGCGTCAAAAAACTGACTGTTGCGTGACGGGGTGAAACAAAAACACGGCTTTACCTGTTTCCCTCGGTAGAAGAGGCGCTGCTGTTGCGGGCTTACATTGAAGATGTCTTGTATTTTCAGGCGTAAGGACTCAATTTTTGTCAATCTAGAAAGATCATCAACGGTTCGTGTCTCCTTCCCGTCTATAGTACGAACCTGGATCCACATCGTTGCGCCGCCGTCTTACGCCTCAGATAAACAACAGTTACAACGGTAATTCGGGGCAACAAATTGTTTTCCCCCGCCCCAGGGTTAAAGATTTTTTTTTAAATGGTCAGTGTTTTTTAGGGCTTCATTGCGTTTTCCTCTGCAGAGGTAACGTCTGACTGGCTCGCGCAGGAGGTGCCTCACATGAGGTCGCGGCGCCAAGCAAATCTCGCGAAGTAACGTTAAGCACAGTGTGCAGTTTTAAAGGCACAGCTCCCCCTTTTAGTCTAAAAATAATGGGGGGACCATTTGAATTTGACTTCTTATTGTGTACTTACGAGGTCAAGTTGGCTGTCTTACAATAATACTGCGGGGTTTGCGTGAAAGGCTTAAATACGTAATGACGCAGCAGGGACTTAGGAGTGACATAAAAGGCCCTTTGCAGTATAACACAAGTACAGACCACCGAACAAGCTTATGGTATGTTTAGCAACAACACGTGGGGGCTATATGTTACTATGTGTGACGTATGCTCCTCGGCCTAAACCAGGGTCCTATAAAGAAGTCTACAGCGCTGAAGACTTCAATGAGCCATACTGCAAAGAGTTCTTCAGGCTGTCTAGAGGTCTTTCTTGAGGCCACTCGGTGCTTTTTTCACTCATTTTCAGTCCACTCCTTGTACCTGGTTGTTTGTAGGTTGTTTTGACTTTTTTTTTTTTTTTAATTCAGTTTAGTTTTTATTCAAAAGGTTTTGTTTTAGTTAGTTTCATAGTTTGTTTTCATCTTTTTCTTTTTTGGTGTATGGAGGGCATATATCAGAGAAAAGATTTGGGCAAATCAGTGCAGATATTACCATAAAAACACTGAACTTTTTGAAAACAGTTTACTCAAAGATTTTTAGACAGCCAAAGTCTCAAGAAGTATGCTCATCAATACCACATCGGGCAGGCTGTAATAGAATTTTAGCATATTACCTCTCTATTTTTTATTTATTTAACTATAATGACCCAGTAAACCACTTAACACCAATCTAAAAATTAAAAACTTAGCCTAATTGTGTTTTCTTTTTCTTTCTTTTTTAGCAGTCACAACTGATGTCCAACATATTTATATTTCCAAGTGGACCATTATAGCTTTTGCTATACTGGTCCATTTGATAGTCATATTTTATTAGATTTTTATTAGATTGGGTGAAGGAGATGGCATCAAGTGTTGATTTGGAACGACTTACTCATATTGTCAGAGCAAAGGGAGAAAGTTAACAGAGGAAAGGGAGAGAAAATAGAGAAGAAGAGGGATAGAGAGAGAAAAAACACTGAAAATCTGCTTCACCACCTGCATTTGTTTGTACTTTTTTAGTAAGTATTAACAAATACTAAAGACAGCACAGCTTGACAGACATAAATTTATATTTTTGCACCAACAAGGGGTTTGCCAGAGTGCTATTAGCTGAAAATTTGACATATCTCAGCATGGTGTGCAGGACAAAAGAAGATGTAGCAGGTGTGAGAAACTATCTAAAGCGGGTAAGCAGTATATGAAAGTCATGTCCATAAAAACGGGAAAAAATCCAGCAAAGACCTGACACAGGACCTGAGAGATACATTCAATTCCCAAAAGTATTCACTCATCCAAATCATTGAGTTCAGGCGTTCCAATCACTTCCACGGTCACGGGTGTATATAATGAAGCACGTAGGCATGCAGACTGCTTCTACTGTTTCTTGTGAAAGAATGGGTCGCTCTCAAGAGCTCAGTGAATTCCAGCATGGCACTGTGATAGGACGCCACCTGTGCAACAAGTCCAGTCATGAAATTTCCTCAATCTGAATATTTCACAGACAACTGTTAGTGGTAATGTAACAAAGCGGAAGCAATTGGGAACTACAGCAACTGAGTCATGACGTGGTAGGCCATGAAAAATCACAGAGCGGGGTCAGTGCATGTTGAGGCATATAGTGCACAGAGGTCAACAACTTTCTGCAGAGTCAGAGCTCCAAACTTCACATGGCCTTCAGATTGGCTCAAGAACAGTGTGTTCTTTTTGTTCAGTGTGTTCTGGGGTGACAAATCATGGTTCTTCATCTGGCATGCCGATGGAAAAGTCTGGGTTTGGCAGTTGCCAGGAGAGCGGTACTTGTCTCTCTGCATTGTGCCAAAACAATGCCGACAGAACAGTTTGAAGATGGCCTCTTCGTGTTGCACACAAAGCAAGGTCCATAAAGACAGAGATGAGCGAGTTCTGGAAGAACTTGACTGGCCTGCACAGACTTTGTGCAGTGCAGTATACATTTTGCTCTTCAATTGATCCATGTTTGCCAAAGCTTCATCAGAAATTATTTCAGTGGAAGGGTGGCTGTCAAGAAATGATTCTTACATAAGGAAAACAGGGAGAAAAGGATGAGGTATGCCAAATTACACAATAACTGCACTGAAAGTCAGTGGCAACAGGTTTCATGGAGTGATGAATCCAAATTTGAAATTTGTGGTTTAAATTGTTGTCAATATTAGGAAAGACCTAAAACACAGCAGAGGTTCTATCGTGTTTGGGCCCACAGTTCAGTCAGTGGTCTTGGGGGATCTTGTTAATATGGATTTATTAAGCCAGAAAAGTACCATCAGATTTTGATCCACAATACAATATTGTCTAGAAAGACTGACTGACAAGAGCATAACAATGATCTCAAACAGACTAGCAATGCAGTAAAAGCATATTTGGAAAAACAAACAGTGGTACGATATCAGTCATAGATTGGCCTCCCCAGAGGCCAGACTTTAACATTATTGAAGCAGTGGGACCATCTTGACAGAACAGAGTTTTAGATGTCTTCAAAAAATCTAGAGAACTATTCCTGAAGAATATTTAAAGAAATGACAAGAAAGCTTCTTGCTGTGCTGAAGAACAAAGGTGGTCATACGAAAATACTGACTTTCAAGCTCTTTAGAATTGTATCAACTGTTTTTGTCTTGCATACTGAATTTCCATTAATGTTTGCATATGTATCAGTTCACTTTGGCACCTATTCTAAGTTTCATCTTAAAAATATAAAGAAATAAGGGTGACTCAAGAGTTTTTCACAGTATTGAATTTTAGTCAAACCTTCCACCTTCTCACAAGAAGGCCTACAGCTGCATCACTTTGAGAAAGATGCTACTCTTGCTCCAGCAAGGAAACCAATTGCTCTTCTTTTTTCATTTATATTTTCACTTAATGACACATGGGATCAAATACATGCATTATGTTCTACAAAAGCATGCGGGGCACTTAAAATGCAGTCATAGTATCGCAACTATGCTGCAGACATATGGAAGCAATTTCTTGACCATCTTCAGTATTTCCAACCTTCTGGATATCCCTTTTACGATTTACTGGAGAAAGTACACATATTTTCGTATTTTGTGCTTTATATATTAGTCGGATTTTCTTAATGTATTTCTTAAGTGTCATATAACTCATAATCATCCATTATTTTGCGCCAAAATGAGGGCCCATACTGGACTGAAAACCCACCTTTTAGCTGCGCTGAAGTCTCTGTGCAGCACGGTTCCCTGGTGGCATAATTGCTTAATTAACAGTTGTCCCAGCAGGAGACCTCCTCGTTGTCAGAGTTGCTCATTTTACTGCGGCTCCATGTCACGTGCTTTGTTAATGTAAACCTATGAGTTGTATTACATGTTGTGCTAAATCACACTCTAATTACAAGTATAGCCACAATGTGATTTGGGGTAATTAATAAAGAGGTTAAGGGACGACCTGAGAGATTAAAAGAAGGGAAATTTTCACTCTAATCACAGGCGTGTGACGCTCATCTGCCGTACATTGATCTCTAGCGACATCTACCGGCCAAACGTGAGACGTGTGCGTTGCAGAACTTTACGTCGTACACGAACATTCTTTTATATCTCATCTAACTTATTTAAAGGCGCTTAAGCCCTTAAGTGTAAATGAACTTTAAACAGTGTCATTCTGTGCATTGTGGCTTTATCAGTTGGTGGATTTTTACGCGTGTATTAATTTGTGTAATGATAAGTGTCTCAGCGCGTTCGCATTTTGCACGACGATAAGAGACATACTTATAAAAAGCTCAATGATACAGCATCGAGTGTGTGTAATGTATGTGTGTGCCCGCCTTTCCCCCCCTCGTAAGAAATAAACAAAACAAAACAACGGTTCGGCGTGACACGGAACATGCTAGCTGCGTCAAGCTGCGCACATTTGCATCGAGGGCACGCAGGGTGGAAGCGAACTGGACACTTCAGTTGTCTTCAAACAACCCAGAGGAGTCAGTTACTAGCTTTTTGTAAGCGCTCAGCGTTCATAGTATACCTGCCACACGGTGTATATTTGACTCTGAAGTGAATGTGTACATTTTTACCCGCCATAAAGTAGCTGTCAAGTTGAAAACCTAGCTGGTTAGCTGGGTAGCTAGTGACAATGAACTGTTATGCGTTTTGAAACAATCGGCTAATGCTCCGTTAGCCGTCCAGTTGTCACTGACATCATTCCGTGCGATGGCGACATGATACGCCCGCTTAACTTTTTTACCTGGACATGTAACCGCTGCAACATTTTCACCATGGAGAGCAAACGCAGCAATTGCAGGCCCTAGGCTGGAAACAATAGCAAAGCTAGCAGAACTAGCAAGCCTTCGTGGCTGCTAAGCTTGCCCTGCCTGGTGCGTCTGAGGAGCCGAGCTGAAAACGGCGAGGTATGTCGTTGAACCAACCAAATTCTGTCTGTGGTCACTTCGTTTTGTTGTTATTTTGCACGTGGTCAGGATGCGAGGAGCGATAAGGGGGTGCCCTTTAGTTTTTGTTGAAGAACAGGCAGAGCAAACTTTTGTTTGCTTACCGTTATTCTGACTTGATTTTGCGCTAGCGTGTGAACAGCTAACTTCGAGTTAGCTAGACACTGATGCAGGGAAAGTTTTGAAAGATGGGGCATTTAGGGTAAGATAAGTCACCCCGCTAATTCTACGAGGTAAACACCCCCGCGTTTTATCATGTGTCTCTGATAATGTGTTCACTGTTCATGACATCGCTTAAAATGAAAGCAAACTTAGCTCAGCGATGTTGGGCATCCAATTAATTTACAGTTTTCCCATTTTGCGGTTTTTGGGGGCTGTATAAATGCATTGTATATTTGACCAAGTCTATTCTTTCATCACTGAGTGTTATTTGTAAAATAAGAAGTCGCCATAGGTGACACCTGTCACCCTCTTCAGGCGTCAGTGCTATGGATC